GGCCTCTGGCTCCTGGGAGGTTTGCCCTCAGTGGGGCCTTGGCCGTGGAACAGCATGCGCTGCTTTATTAAGGTGCCTGAATCTTTGCAGTTTGAACTTCTGGACAGAGAATTATGTCTCTGCTGCTGTAGATATGCAAGTGTTTGGAGATAAAATCAATAGTTTAAAGCAGCCTCTGAGTGGCAAGTGGATCAGCACAGGCCAGTCCAGGGTTAAGAGCTCATCTGAATTCCTTGCCTGGACTCCTTTTCACTTCTCATTATTCTGGAGTGAGATGCTTCCAAATCACGACTTGTGCTACCCTCTGCTCTTGTGTTTTCCTGTCATAATAATTATCCCGGTTTGCTCTTCAGCTCCATTATGCTGGTTTCTCTAGAAGGCTGCTTTAGCGTGGGGTGAGAGCAAAACACAGTCCCACTGTCTCAGGTCAAAGGAGAGTAAAAGTTGAGTGAAAAGTAAAGGAAGAGAGAGTAAAGGTTGAGGTGTGCACACGAAAACTGAAAAGTTGAACCTACCATCGGACATTTCAAGCGGAAACCCTTACTTTGCGTCGATCACTTGGATAAGGCAGGTGACTTTCTTTGCTTAAACCATCCAGTTTCCAAGATGTGCTTCACTTTGCATTCAATAGGATGATTTTTCCACTTTCCCTGTACTTTATGCCTGGGACAAGAGGAAGAGATGGAGGAAGGGGAAGGGAACTAGGTTAGGGAGAACAAAGGAATCAGGCATCAGGCCAAGGACTGGTCAGAGAGTCTGGCAGAAGGGAGAAGAGGACAATTTGAGAAGGGAGAGCAGAAGACAAAATGGTGGGAGAGAAGGTGGGATGGAAGAAAGCCTCTCACACGGGCAGCCTCTATCCAGGGAGAGGAAGCAGCTTACCGCAGCCTCTTTCTCATTCTATCCCAGATTCACTGCTCTTGGCTGAACTGCTGCCCAGGCCACTGCTTTGTGTGTGTGTGTTTAAAGTCATTGGGTGGGTGCTGTGAAAATCCCAGCAGTGCCAGGTGGACTTCTGCCTGTCTTCCCCACAGGACCACAGCTGCTACTTCCTCTAGCCTGGGCAGGAATGGGGAGGTGGCTGGGAGGGAGGAGGGACCGCCTGGATTGGAGCCCACCTTTCAGAGTCCAGCCTCTCTCTCTTCTGGAGATCCACATAGCCTCTGGATACTGATGGAGATCTCATGAGGGTTTCCCTCCAAGCAGGAGCAAATCCAAGTTCTGTGATGCTCATTTTGTTGCTTCTAGGTAATGGCTCATTTTTGTAGATGGGGACAGTAAAACAAACAGCACATTGGGGTCAAACGTGGGACTTGCTTTGGGTCTCTGTATCCTCATGACCTTTCCTGAGGAACAGCTGTGGGTCTGGAGGAGGCAGTCCTCACAGAAGGCTGGAATCCTTGGCTCCCATACCAATGCTTCCAGACAAACCAGGATGTAGGAAGCGGGATCTGACTGGGATTGGGAGGCCTCACCAAGACACTCACTCTCACAGGCCACTGTCAGCTCCCCCAGGTGTCTACAGAACAAAAGAAAAATCCCCAGCCTGCTCTTCAAAGTCTGACACAATTTGACAAACCAGTCTTTCCAACTTTACCTCTGACTTTTCTCTCACTGAGTTCCTCAACCCTAGCCAGGCTGATTTTTCTCAAAACATACCTTTCATACTCCTCCTGATCTCCACTTAACTCTTAACTGTTATTTATTTATTATTATTGTCTGCATGTATTTATTGTTACTTTCAAAGACAAGAACCATCATCACCCATCTTTTGCATCTTCCTCAGGATAGAGCATCGTGCCTTGCATATAAGTGACTTTGACCTCTGGCCTCCTGGGGTGGAAGGCAGTCCCTTTGCCCCTGAATCATCCCAGTCCTAGGTGAGATCACCACCAGCCCACAGCATGGGTTAGCAGATCAAGGGCCTGACGGTGCAGCTCCTGGACTTCAACCCAGAGGTTGAGGCAAAGCTGTGACAAGAAGGTTGAGATGGCTGAAGGACAACTCAGAAACTGTCAACGACACAGGTCTGCTGTTTGAGCAATTTGAGCTGGACATGGCAAAAAAGTTACACCACTGAATTATGGTGAGCTCACTCTGGGCAAAATCTTGGGGTTCCCCTCAATCACTGGGGAGTCCTATGCACCTGCCAGTCTAGCCAGTTGTTCTTGAAATGCTCACCACTGGGGGAGGGAGCAGGGAGAGAATGTGTAGGTGACTATATGCAGAGGGTAGCCTTCACAGGAAAAATGAATCAAGATTGTTTCAATGGTGAACTATCAGAACTCCTTTTGCTGGTAAAAAAACAAAACAAAACAAAACAAAACAAAAACTAGCACCCTTACAAGCAAAATCTGACAAATATATGTCTTAGTCCTAGATATTTGCCAACCCTTTTCAATTTATAAAGTGTAAGTAAGTCTGCCCTTGTTAGGAAATCGGATTCATAAGAACAGAATTTCTCAAGATCAGTACTATCTACATTCCGGTCTAGATAATTCTTCGTTGTGGGAGCCATTTGGGGCCATGTTCAATGTTTAGCAGCATTCCTGGCCTCTACCCCCTAGATGCCAGTAGCACCTCCCAGTTGTGACAACCAGAAATGACTGCCCAGGACAAAACTGCCTCCTGGCTACGAAACACTGATTAGACTGTGGCCTTGAGCAACCTACTTTCCTCTCCACACCTTAGTCTCTTCATCGCTAGGGTGATTCTTGAGGATGTAGAGTTCAGAGTAATGGAGTAACAATCCCGCAGATCTTAGGCTCAGGGAACAATGAAACCATGACAAGGATGTCAGAACAGAAAAAGCAGCCCTGTGGACCAGCACCTCTGGGGTGGGACTTCACAGGCCAGAGCACTAGGACTGCAGTTTGGGCCCATCACACAGGGGCCTTGTGAAGATGGATTTTAAGTCAGGTGTTAGAGGGGACTCTAGATTGGCAGAGCGGGGATTGGAGTTCACTTCCCATACCCAGTTACCCATTTATATAGTTTAAAGGTTAAAAGGCACTTTCTTGCTGACCATCTCATTTTATTCTTGCAGTCTCATGAGGTAAAGAAGGCATTAATCCCATTTTATAGAAAAGGAAACAAACTCAGTAGGTTATCTGATATTAAGTCCTGACTCCTTCCTCTACTATGTGCTGCTCCATTTCTGCAATCTGTGTGCAAGCGTGAGTGGGGGTGAGTGGGTAGTGAATGAAGGAGACTAAGAAACATGAAAAGCCCCTTCTTCTCAAGGAAGCTGTAGCCTTAAGCAAATAGGGAAGAGGTGACCTGCTTTGAGGTGGGGACCACAAAGTAGTAGGCTTCCTCAGAACAAAGACTTGGGGCCATGTCCAATGTTTAGCAGCATTCCTGGCCTCTACCCCCTAGATGCCAGTAGCACCTCCCAGTTTTGACAACCAGAAATGACTGCCCAGGACAGTCATTGCTAACAAAGCATTTTGTTCCTCAGAAACGTGATAGTGTGTTTCCTTCTTGCCTTTCCATGGGAGCAGGACCTGTGCACCAGAGAAAACATCAAAGACAGCCCCAGGACTCAGAGACTTGTGGCAGGAGGCTGGAACTCAGTGTCCTGATGACACCNGGCCTCTACCCCCTAGATGCCAGTAGCACCTCCCAGTTTTGACAACCAGAAATGACTGCCCAGGACAGTCATTGCTAACAAAGCATTTTGTTCCTCAGAAACGTGATAGTGTGTTTCCTTCTTGCCTTTCCATGGGAGCAGGACCTGTGCACCAGAGAAAACATCAAAGACAGCCCCAGGACTCAGAGACTTGTGGCAGGAGGCTGGAACTCAGTGTCCTGATGACACCAGAGAGGAGGGAACCACAAAACAAGGCATTTTTCCTCCCACCCATTCAACCCCCCTCAGCACAGGGGCTCCTCAAGCTCAGGGACATTCCCTCCTCTCGGCCAGGCTCAGGCCCCACCCTGCATGGGCTCCCACTAGGTGATGGCTTGTAAACCAGCCTGAAGGATACAGAGGAGCCACTCCTGTGTGGGCTTTACCCTCACTGGCCAGCTGTGCACTTTGCACAGTTCCCTGGGAAGGTTTTCCAAGCAAAGCCTTCTTAAACAACACCTTTGGGCTGAGTCTTCACATAAGCTAGCTCAGTGGAATTGATGACGGCGAGCATGAGAGGAGAAGAGCAGCATTCCAGGAATAGATGGTGGTAGGAGCAAGGACCTAGAGGCGGGGACAGGCAAAGGGGAGACAGGCAGGGATGGGGCAGTTGGAGACCAGGTCACTGGAAGTTTTAGGTCCTATGAAGTGGAGAGACTTACTAAAGTCAGAGGGTGTGTGGTGTTCAGGAGAGGGGAGAGCCTGAGCAGGGGAAGAAATAGGAATGGAAGGGATGGGTTTAGGAAAAGCTTTAGTAAGATTGTCAGGGCTTGTGCTCATGTGGCATACTCACCGTGTGCCAGCCACCGGGCACCCTTGCGAATGGATCCTAATACTCCTGTGAGGTATAAAATACTATCCCCGTTAACAGACCAAGACACTGAAGTTTATAGTGTTTTAGTAAACTTACACTGATGGTGTACAACCTGTAAGCAGCAGAGCCAGGATCCACTCTCTGGTCTGTTTATTCAAAAGCCTTGCTCTTAACCACTGTGCAGCCACTGCTTCCCAACAGGTACGGTTAGGGAGAGGGAGGGGTCTAGGATCACTCTCAGATTTCTTGCATAGGCAACTGAGGAAACTGAGATGGACAACACAGGAGAAGCAAGTCATAGGGAGGATAGGTTCAGTTTGGGACTCTAGTTTTTGCTGTTCGGGCAAGTTTAGGGGGCTATGAATGAGAAACACTATACATCTCTCTGCCACGTCCTCACCCCTCCCACCCTAACCACACACTGACTTTGGGCACTCAGGGTTCTGTGTTCTGATGCCCACTCTCCAGAGTAAGGGGGGACTCTCCTAAGAGGAGGCCCACAGCTGGACAACACCCTGTAAGGAGACAAGGCTGAGGGCCTGTGGGAGTCAAGGACTGTGGCTGGCAGGCTCTAGGGAGCTAGTTCTTTGGTTCTGTTGAAGAGGCATGTGTTGATGAAAAAGAGTTAGGAACCTAGACCTTTCCCAACATGACAAACTACAGCAAGAATCTGACCTGCTGGGCTGAAGCCCAGGCTGTGCTGTCTGATCCAACCTACCAAGTCTGAGGCTTCAGGGAAGGGCTCTGACTCCAAAGGGCCTGAGGTTACAGATGAAGGAGTCAGTGTGTGGTCTGTGATGGGGTGACTGGTTGGAGTGAGGCTGATGATGGGGACCAAGGAGGGGTCGACCCCGAACTCTGATTCTCAGCCCAGCACTTGGATGAGAGGCCCTGGCCTGTGTGCTGGCCTGCTGGGCTCCCGTGAGTGGGAGGAGGGAGTGGCAGACCCTCTGTTCTCTGAGGCTCAGGAACAAAGCATTTTGTTCCTCAGAAACGTGATAGTGTTTCCTTCTTGCCTTTCCATAGGAGCAGGACCTGTGCACCAGAGAAAACATCAAAGACAGCCCCAGGACTCAGAGACTTGTGGCAGGAGGCTGGAACTCAGTGTCCTGATGACACCAGAGAGGAGGGAACCACAAAACAAGGCTTTTTTCCTCCCACCCATCCAACCCCCTCAGCACAGGGGCTCCTCACGCTCAGGGGACACTCCCTCCTCTCAGACTCCCTCTATCCAGAAACCTTTCTAGCCCCTTCTCACCTCTGGGCTGTCCTTGGCCTCAGGCAGGAAGAATCCTGCCCCTGCCCACCTGGTCTGTGCACTAGTCTTTCCTCTGGAGCAGTCAGAGGGTTGGAGATCAGCCTGTTCCTTCTGTCCCCTTTGCGTTTTCACCAGAGGGTTGCTCTGGGCCAGCGACACTCAGTAATAGTCTCTCACCCAAGGACCAACTGGACCTCTGGTTCTGTAAGTCTTATAGCTCATGGGCTGGGTAAGGCCAAGAGCCTGGGGTGGGCCAAGGGAGGAGGAGGAGAAGCCAAAGATGGCTGCCCAGCTGGGTGACCTTGGGCAAGAGTCTTCTCTCTCTAGGCCATGAGGACTTAGGCTGGATGACCTCTGAGGCACAGTGCAGCTCTTAGGGTGTAGGGGAAGGCACACAGGGAAGGCTGGGGGAACACTGGAGGCTCTGGGTGGGGGTAGCCAGCCCCTCCAGGGCCACCTCTGTCTTCAACCACCCTAACTCTACCTGCAGGAGGAATGGCACCCCTTGTGGCCCGACTTCTGTTCCTGCAGCTTGTTCTAGGGCCGGCTCTGGCCATGGACATCAGGCTGCAGGCTGCCATCAAGAACTTCCGCGACTTACACATCGACTACCCCAAAGTTAACTTTCCAGACGGTTTCCAGGGCTACTGTAATGGCCTCATGGCCTATGTGCGGGGCAGAAGGGAAAACTGGTATTGCCCAAATATCCACTATGTGGTACATGCCCCCTGGAGAGCTGTCCTGAAGTTCTGCAAGTACAGTGAGAGCTTCTGTGAGAATTACAATGAATACTGTACACTCACCCAGGACTCCTTTCCCCTCACGATCTGCTCTCTGAGCCACAAACAGCCTCCTATGAGCTGCTGCTACAATGGCACCCTAACCAACCAAAGGCTCTACCTGCTCTGTTCCAGAAAGTATGATGCTGAGCCGATAGATATCATTGGCCTCTCCTAGGCAAAGAGGCTTTTGGGCCAAACCACTCCCTCCTGCCACCACAGACCAGCTGTCCCCAGTCCCCAAATTCCAATTCCAGGCTTCCTCTCTGGCTTTAGAGGCAGTCAGGGTCCCCCCAAAAAGACTCTGCAGACCATACTGTCTCCTAGGCTCTTTCTGACTTGTTTACTTCCTGCCCCCCATCAGCCTTTCTCTCCCCCAGACAGTGTCACCCACCCAAGAAGCTGATTCTGTCCAGTTGGCAGTGACTGTCCATCCACAGGGCCAGATCCTGAATCCTGGATGGAGTCCCAGAGCCTCAGCACACACCATGGCAACGGGCACCCAGCTGCATGTCTCAACACCCACCACCATTCTCTTCTCAGTCTTCCCCATTTCACGTATGACTCCCTCCACTCACTCACCCCTCCCCATGGTGGGCATCTCCAGCTACAGGAACCTCCCCGAGGCCCTCAGACTCACCTTCGTCTCACTTCCACAGACCCCTGCTCCATTCCCAGGCAGCTCCTCTATGAAATCATTCCTGTCTTTTCATGAAAGCTGTCTTTTTCTCCCTCCATCCCCCATCTCCCACGGGGCCCTGTGCCCCCGCTCCCACTCTCTCAACCTCTATTAGTCACTCTGCCTTCCTTTCTCCAAGTTCTCTTCTGTCCTTCTCACTTTGGTTCACTGAAGTTTCAAGTTAACTTCTGTGACCTATCCCCACAAGATTCCTGCATCCCTTTCCTTCCCAAAGCTCCTTCTGACCTCTCCCAAACTCCAGGATCTGCATATGAGGGCACGGGGGTGTGGGGGACCTAGCTGTAGTCACAGAAGGTTTTTTTTAAAACCACATCTGAGTTATGTAAGATAGAACCATTAGATGGAACCAGGTAAAGTGTACCTAGGGCCTCTCTGTACTTTTGTGTCTTCCCTTGAATCTACAATCATTTCAAAATAAAAAGATAAAAAACACACCTAAGTCAGTTTTGATTTCATTTTTTTCTTCAATGTACCAGAGCTCTTAGGGTCCTGGAGACCACCCACCTCTGCCATCTTCCTGGGCTGCCCTGGTGGTTCAGTGGGATCTTCTGTTCCATGTGTACCATGATGGGTAAAGTTGAGGTCCAGGCTGGGTGCTGAAAATGGATTCTCCCTTCCCCCAAGCTCTAGCACGAACTCATAGTAGATCTTTGGCCCATTCCAGCTGGCTTCTATTTCCCCCCCAACAAAACCTGGATTGCAACAGATGAGGAGGGTGGCGGGGCAAGGAAGGGTCTAGTTGGTGGTATGTGGGTCATAGTATGTCAAATCATGAATTGCTGCCCCCTCCCTTGGGAGGCAGATAAGGGTGGATGCCAGTAATGTGTGAATGCAAGTAGCCAATAGTTTTGCCTCCATAGCTGGTTTATGTCGTATTTCTAAATATATTCTGCATCCCTGTTCTTAGCAACATTTGTTGATGGGAATGCAAACTTATGTCAGGAGGCATGAGGCTAAGTAGGATAAAGGATGTAGAGCTGGAAACCCGGTGCATTACTTGGGATTTCTCTTCTCTCTCTCTCTATGCCAGTGGGCCCATCCATCCCTCACCCCGGTGGAAGACAGAGCTTGTCAACTGCAGCACACAGAGACGTTTATTGTTTCCCAAGCTCTCTGGTGTGAAAGATGCAGGGTCACAGGATGGCGGGCTAAGATGAGGCTCCTCCCTAGTTGCCACTCTTCTTATCGTAGGTGCCAGCGCCTTTGTAGCCACTCACGTAGCCTGAGCCATCAGTCATGTCTTTCCGGCCCGTGATGCCTTTTCCCTTGCCACTCTCATCGAAGCGCTCCTTATGGGTACCAGTGTACTGACTGGTGTCTGTCAGTCTGCTCACCCCACCCACTGTGCTTGTTTTCTGCAAGCCAGAAGACAATTGTGTGATCCCTCTCCTCCACTGTCACATCCTTCTCTAGGCATGGCCTTTGATTCTGCTAGTGCACAGAGCTCCAGCTCTACCTTGGGTCTGGTGCTTTCTTAAGGCCCAGAGGCAGCTGCGGGTAGGAGCTAAGGCAAGAGCTGTCCACCCATGAGGGAGGAGGAATCTGGTGTATGGGAATGAATGGGGGTGAGGGGTATAGATTTTTTCTGCTTCCAGAAGAGTTGTTTTGACCAGGTTGTAGCCAGAGGACTTCAACCCGAGACCCAATATACTGGGTCTTACTGGGAAAGCCCTACTTGAGACCTGGAGTAGAAAGCACTTTAAGTAGAGAGGGGACAAACAGGGAGCAGAGGGTGGTGAGAGCTGGAGGTCAGAGATGGCCCTTACATAAGAAAGAAGAGTGGAGATCAGGTACCAAGTTCTCTACATCCAGTGTGCCCCAGAAGCCACCAGGCCTTAGGTGTTTGCTCAGATATTGGACTGGACACTTGGAAATGAGTCTGAATTTTAGCCTTGAAATAGCTATGGACAATGGGCAAGTTACTTCTCTCTAGGCCACAGTTTCCTCACCTTTGAAATAACTAGATGACCTCTAAAGTCCCTTCCAACACCACTAGTATCACTGCTGCAGGGGTTAGGGATGGTGGAAGGGGGAGGGGAGATGCGGGCAGCAGCGATTTGGGAAGTAGGCTCAGGGGTCAGGGATACAGAGTGTCACTCACAGTAACACCAGAGGTAGCTGGATCCTTGCCCTCCATGAGTTTATAGATGCTCTCCAGGGCTTCTTCTGGGTTCTTCCCCTTGAACAGCTTCTGGCCCAGTTCCTTCATTGCCTCTTGAAACTGCTGGAATGTGATGGTTCGGGCATTCTTGATCCTGGTAAGTCAGACAGAAATCCAGGAACTCTGGAAAATGAACTGCTCACCTTTCAAGGTCCAATGCTCCCCTGACTCAGACTTGGCCTCTTGACACTGAATGTCTTGAGGACAGGGAATAGCACAGCCCCAGGAGATGCTAAGTAGACCCAACAGAAATGTTCCACCACGTGAATCCTTTCATGTTTCACTACCCTGTTTGTTCTAGTCACCAACCCCACTCCCACCTTTGGTCCCTTACTTGACTTTGCTGAATACAATGTCCACATCAGTGGAGGTGACCATCTTGCCATCCATGATGCCACAGTCTTTGCACAGTTTGGAGAAGTTCTTGTTGTTCATTTCATTGCCCCTGCTTGATGATTCTCCGAAGACAGCAAACCGCTGGAATGTTTTCTCTGCTTCTGATGCCATGGTCTACTGGAGCTGGAGAAGGACAGTAGTGGGGAAGCCTTGGGGGTCCCAGCACTCGGGATACTAGTGTGGACCCTACAGACTGAACAATCACCACCACCACCCACTTCCCCACCACTTCTGTGTACCTTAGAGCATCTGAATGGTGTCCTCTCTAGATAAGTGTGCAGCTATGTGGGAGTCAACTGGCTGGGAAGCCTGAGGTGAAGGGAGAGAGGCTTCTATGACCTCAGCAGTGTTTATGTGACATCACCTCCAGCCCCAGCAATAGTCCTAATCTTTGGGAGAGGGATCCTTTAGTTTCCCTACCTTGCATGCTGCATTGAGCAAATTGTCAACCTTCTGATCTCTCCAGATGATCAAACTTCCCTCATCATTCCAGTCCAGCTTCACCCAGTCCTCTGGGTCCTACTTAAATTGCCTTCCACTCTAACCCATAGCAAAAACTTCTGGGATCCTAAAATAGAGAAACTAGATTGGTGACTTCCCTCCCCTTCCCATCTAATCAGCCCTATTTGCTATTCCTACATTTTTCCCCCCTTGTCTTACAAATCCACTCCTTTCTTTCATTCTTATAACTCCCATACTTATTCAAGTCCTTGTCATCTCATATCTACTTGATCACCCTGGCTTTTAAATGGCATCTTTCCCATGTCAAATGCTTTACCCCTACCCACCCCATAATCCATCTCTATTACCCCACCCACCAGGTTAATGTTCACAAAATTAATTTTTATCCATTCCTTCTGCTCAAGAACACTCTATGAGTCTTCTGTTTCAAACATTTTTGCCTGTCATTCAAAGACCTTCACACTTGGCCCCAACCTACTTTACCAAACACCATCCACCTCTCATCAACCTTATTGTTCATCTGGGGCACAGTATGCTTGACAGGCTACCTTGATCATTATATAGCTTGAGAAGCTACCTTGCAGTGGAAAGAGCATAGCCTTGGAGTAGAATGGATCTGGGTAGGCACTTGTGTCCTAGATAGTGTCATTTTTACTAGCTGGTTGGCTTTGGGAAAATCACCAAACATCTATGAGCTTCAGTTTGCTTATCTGTACAGTGAGGACACAATACTTACTTTATAGGATTGGGCAATAATATATGGGTATTATCCCCCAATGGAATAATAATATACCTTGTATGCAGTAGCTACTGTTCAATTCTTTGAAGTAACTTGTCTATTTCTTTCCCCCAACTTTCCCTCATGCTCTCTTCTTGAAGAGAATGCTACTCTCCCATTCAAATACTCTATGACCGCAGCCTCCTGGTGTGAGGTTTCCTGAATTATTGCCAAGTCCTGAAATCTACGTGGACACAGANATACATATATATATATATGTTGTGATTATCAGAATACTATACAAACTTATTTGAAAGTACGGCTGAATTCATGGTTTGTCTCCATCAATGGATATTAAAACTGTCATGTAGGAAGGAATGTTCTTGTGTTCTACTTGGGAAGTATCAGGAACTATTGCCATAGGACTTATTATCTAAACAATTAATCTATATACACATAACTTTTCTTAACTTTTTTAATCCTTATACATTCTCTCAAACTACTTGATCATAAGCTTCTAGAGGGGATGCCTAGACATCACACTGCTTTGAATTCCATTTCTACAGCGGCTTGCACGTAGTATTTTAAGCTGTCTCTTAGTTGAAGGTATAATTTGAAGCTGCTTCTGACCCAAGAGAAGGAGGTTCAGGAGAGTGAGATGATCCTTGTTGGGTCACTTACATTTGGGCTGGACTGGGACCTGCTTTAACAGAGAGGAATCCCATCTTAGGGCAGAAGCAGCCTCATTTCTGCCTGCAAGAGGCTGAGACCCCTAGGCCTAGGAAGCAAAGATATCCAAGTGGAAATTTCCCATCTCCTGCCTGTCCCACGCCCTTGCACAGGCCCCTTATCAGGTTCTCCCTGAGTCATCCTGACCCAGAGACGAATATAGATACTGGAACCTCCAGGTCCTTCCCTCCCCCACTCCAAGTAAGACTACTTTAGACACATAAGAGAAGACTATGGGCAAAAGCTCTCACTCCAGGCATTATTTCTCCCTCAGCTCCAGCAGCGTTGCTGAGATCTCTCTCCTGTCCTAGGCATCTTTATTGAAGATCCTAATCCCAGCAGGCATTTCCTTGCCCAGGAGTGTGTTAAACTGGCACCCAGAGGGGAAAGGGAAAGAGGGCTAGAGGAGGGGCCAGAGTGCCCAGCTTCTATGCCAGTTTCTGGGAAAATAATTATGAGAGGAGTGGGGAGAGGAAATAGAGGAAAACGTAGATGCTCCAAATTGGGGGATGTAAGGCGGCCCTTTAGATTTGGGGTTATTGAAAGCTAGGTTTGATCCTGACCAGTTCTCCTACCCTGGTCACCTCCTCCCCCTTGGCCCCTCCTTTTTTCCAAAAAACCCTGCCAAGTTGGGATGAAAGGCGCATTGATGTTCCTTGGATGGGAGGGGATTGTGGGTGTTGAGGGTGGTGGTGGGGTTGGTTCCCAGGCGGGAGGGAGGGCAATTTGGGGGTCTTGGGGGGGCAGTCTGTGCTGGTGTTGCGGGGTTGGCAGCTCCAGTTCCACTGGCCACTGTTTCCAACTGGCTTGGTGCCCAGCCCCCGCGAAATGGCAACTCAGGAACCAAGCTGAAGGAGGATGGGGTGGGGACCCTGGTGGGAGGAGAGCTGAAGGGGTGCAGGTGGGGAGAAATTCAGTCTGGTTTCCTTTTGCTTAAACCAACTTCGAATCCCCTTAGCCACATAACTATCCTGTTCCTGGTGGCCTTCCTCTTAGGGGCACATGGAGGGTGCATAAGGTGCTGGAAGGCCTGGGTGAGTGAGGAATCTAGGACATTCAAACACTCTCAGGCCCTGAGAGAGGCGCAGCAGTCCCGGAAAAAACATAACCTGGGCACTGCAATTCAGCTGGGCCGAACTGGTCTCACTCTCCTTCTTTGGTCCCAACTAGGAGGAGTTAGCGCTGAAGCCACAGGGTCTCTTGGTTTCCAGCCCGGGACACAGCGTCCTCCCCGAGCCTCCACTCCACCCCCGCGGAGTTAACTCCGCCCTCGCGCCTGTTTACCCAAGAGTCAGAGCCCCTGGGGGTCCCTGGCCCCTCCTTCGCCCCCACCCTTGGGGCCTTGACCCAGGAGTCCCCGTTGGCCATCCTCCCTCCCCGGCTCCTGCGATCTCCCTCTATTTATAGCGGGCCCCCGCATTCCCCGCCCTCCCCCTTAGCCCCCGCCTTGTTTTCCAGCTTCTCACGGAGCAGCCGGAGAGCAGGCTTCGGGACGCAGCAGAGAGGAGGTACCAGGACCCTGGGCGCTCCACAGCTGTAACTCCTGCGTCCTCGACCCTCTCCCCACCCTAGCCGGTGCGGGTTCACCCTGCCCCTCCCCTCGGGCGAGACCCTTGCTTCCTCAGCCAAGATCCCCGCCCTTCTCCACCCTCCTTAACCTAGTTCTCTGTTTCCGGACGGGCTGAGTCAAAATCGTGGGGTGTCAGCAACCTGGGTCCCTCTCCCGCCTACCCTCCCCACTAGTGAGTCTGGGGGCGAAGGAAGGAGTCACAGAGAAAGAGGCAGATCCAGGTCACGGGTGGGGGCGATGTTGAGGGCCGGCGTGGGGATCCCCACACACACCCCATAACAGACCCGTTCGGGGGGAGGCGGGTGCTGTGGGGAGAGTGAGCGCAGCCTGGACGCTCCCGGCAGTTTGCTTTCCCTGAGTCCTGTCCCGCCTCGTCCCCAGCACAGCCCCTCCCTGAGGGGCAGACAGCCTGGGCGGGGAAGAGGGGGGGCGTGTTTACTGGGGTTCTGGGGCGGATCTGCAGGGAGCTGTCTGTCGGTGGGCGGGCCGGGGGCGGGTCTGCGGGGAGTCAGAGCCTGGAGGGCCGGAGAGTCAAAGGCAAGTGAAGGTGGAAGCGGCCGTGGCGGCAGCAGGTAGGGGGAGGGGCAGGTGAGGGGCCGCAGAGGCGGAATGGCGGCGGCCGGGCGGGTGGGCGGTTTGATCACACTCCTCCGGGGCTGGCCGCTCGCGGGAAGGGGCACGCGAGCAGGGAGCGCCGGGGCTGCTGAGCACAAAGGCGGAGGCTCCGCGAGCAGCAGGGCGTGTTTGGGGCGTGTGCGAGGTTGTGTCCAGGGTCTAGGGCTCTCCGCGCCTGCCGCGCGATGGCTTCTGTTCCCACGCGGCGGGGCAGTGTAGGGATTCGTAGGGACACGTCTCGGGTGCTGGGCCCGGCCAGTCCCATCCGTCCTACAATCCTTCCCCAGCTGGCGCTCAGCCCTGGCGGGACGTGGGCGGGCGGGGGGAGGCTGGGCGGAGATTGTGGGACCGCCCCCTCCCAGTCCACTCGCACCCCTCCCAATCCCTTTCTCCACTAGCGAGACCCACACCAGGACTGGATGGAGGAGAGAAGAGAAGGCAGGAGGCTTTTCAAATTGTTTTTAAATGCTGGAGGGAAACAACCTCAGTGAACTACCCTCATCTTACTCGACAGCTGTCAAAAATCATGGGGATCCCTTAGTCCCCACTTCTAGTTTGCAAATAGGAAATTGAGGCCAAGAGTAGTAACTGACTGGGCCAAGGTCACACCGCAACAGCAGAGCCGGAACTGGAATCCAGAGGTTCCTGACACTTGCCGCTCTTTCCTCCGCATCAGCACTGCCTTCTCCCCTCCCCCAAGCCTGGACTGATACCTGCTCTCCGTGTTGCCCCGTAGGCCCCTCCAACATGTATTGATTCTGGTTGAAGCCTAGAGAAGACATGTTCGTTGGACTCCGGGGTACAGATTAGGGAGGGTTAGTGACCTGCGGAGTGTTGTGACCCAGGTACTCTAGGTCTTGGCTGAGACTTTCTGTCCCTAAAAGACCCAGGGTCTGTCTCCCATGTCGTTCACCTCATTGCCTTGTTTTCTCAGACCCCAGAGCCAGCAAGGAGAACCCTGACCCCAACCCCTCTGCGTCAGCCAATAGGAACCCAGTAAGTGACTCCACCCCCAGGCTGCAGGCTCTTACCGTGCAGGTCTGCCCTGGTGCTCTGCTCCTCCCACCCCTCCAAGATGTTGAATGTATGCTAATTTATTCATAGCTGCCAGGGAGCGTTTTGGGAGAAAGGGATGCATTGGGTCAATCAGTAGCAGAGGCCCCCCCCCTCCCACCCCGCCCATTATCATGTTACTAGGGTCATTTGTAGCCCCTTTCCCTTTCACCTCTGACCTTGGGGCTTTAGTTGAAAGTCACAGCCAATTAGGAATTCTTACTGCCCTGTCTCTTAGTGTCTTTGGAGTACCCAGTCACTGGGCCATGAGCTTCCTCCTACCTAACTGGGAATGTGGATGGCCCCTAAATATAGTCTGGGAAACTGTTGCTGCACTGCTGCCCCACCCTAGTATCTCCATCCAGGATAGGGGAGGGGTGTCTGGAGGTGCGGGGTCTGAGGGCAGTAGTGGGGGTGGCTAGTCCATAGAGAAGTGGTGTCTTGATTCCTCTTTGACAGCCTCCCTCCCCAGCGGCCTGATCATGGATCTGGGGGCAGGAAAGGTTCTCTCTAGGTTCTGGAGTATTCTTCAGCATCCCACTTAGTCTTGTGCTGAGAAATGAATCCAGGTATTTGAGATGTGGGGTGTGGAGGCAACCTCTCCAGTGTTTGTATTTCCTCACCCTGCCAGGCCACCATGGCGGAACTGCAGGAGGTACAGATCACAGAGGAGAAGCCGCTGTTGCCAGGGCAGACACCCCAGGTGGCCAAGGTTATCAGAGACCCTCTGACTTCCAGCCCCAAATCCCAGATCTCCAAGCATTCCCTTGCCTCCTGCCTCCCCAAATCCGTGATCTCATTCTAACCCACACCCCTGCTTTCTCCACCTGTACCCGTTTCTTTCTCCTGTTACATAATTGGGAGTCCAGGCCTTTGTCCTGTCATTAAACTAACCTTCATCCTCTTCATGTCTCTTTTTGTCATCTCTTTGTCTTGGGTCTCTGTTGGTGTCTTCACCTGCCTCTCTTTATCCGTGCCTGTCTCTCCATCTGTGACTCTACGTGGTTGTGTGTATTTGTGTGTGTGTGTCCCTCTCCAGGAGGCCGAGTTAGCTGCCCGAATCCTCCTGGACCGGGGACAGGTAACAGCTTGGGTGCTCCCAGGGTGGGAGGGGCTGTCCTTGTCCCCAGTAGGGGGAGGGCCACCACCTGGCTCTTCTTGGCTCTCTACCCCCTTCCTTCCTATTCCAGGCCTCTCCCTTTCCATCTGTCCCCTTCCCTCCTTTCCCCTCCGTCCTTAGAGTTCTTGGTGCTCTCCAGTCCCCATTATTCTTTTCCAAATCATCTTTCACTGTCTTATTTACCTATATGACATTCTTGCTGATCCCATTTTTCTTGTTCCTTTCTCCTCTCTTTGCCCTGCTCCCACCTCCCCTCCCCAGCTTCTGTGGAGTCCTTCCCTGGCCTTTTTTCTACTCAGTCTAACTCCCACCTGATGGTGACTTGTTTTCCTACAGACTCACTCTGTGGAGACACCTTATGGCTCTGTCACTTTCACTGTCTATGGCACCCCCAAACCCAAACGCCCAGCGATTCTCACCTACCATGATGTGGGCCTCAACTGTAAGGACCTTCTCTTCCCCTTGTGCTCTGTTATGGGAAGAGGCTGGGCAGAGGAGGGAGGGTAAGACCCCAGTGTCCGGTAGGATCAGCATGGGCAGGAAGGGAGCCGTGTGGTGGGAGGGGAGAATTCTCTCCTCTGACTGTGGAATGAAAGAAAGAGGGTGGGTTTTGACTTGGGGACATTCTGTCTGATTCTGCTGTTTGGGCGGTGGGGGTTCTCTTTAGATAAGTCTTGCTTCCAGCCACTGTTTCAATTCGGGGATATGCAGGAAATTATTCAGAACTTCGTGCGGGTTCATGTGGATGCCCCTGGAATGGAAGAGGGGGCTCCAGTGTTCCCTTTGGGGTGAGAATTAGCTCCTTCCCCTCACCAGACTGTGAGGCACAGGGCAGGTGGCGGTGGTGGTGGGAGATTGGAGCGAGGGGGAGCAGTGGGGATGCTGGGAGACCCGAGGTGGGACAGTGGGTGCAGGCATTTTCCTTACCGGGGCACTCCTCTGCAGGTACCAGTACCCGTCTCTGGACCAGCTTGCAGACATGATTCCTTGCATCCTGCAGTACTTAAAGTGAGAGTCCTGGGGACCCCCAAGACCAGAGCAGAAGGTGGCTCTTAGAAAGCCTATGTCTACCAAGGTTCCTGGGCGAGTTTAGATCTCTGGTGTTGAGAGATCCTTCCTCCATGATTGTACCTTATTGTTGAAAGGAAAAGGGGCTGGCTTTGGAAAACTGACCTGAGTCAGCAGAGTAGCATAATAGATGGAGGAAAGGAAGGGGAAGGGGCTCTCTGATGTCCCTGCCTCAGGCTGAGGCAGGGCCCCGAGGAAGCTGGAGAGGAAGAGAGGGTGACATAATCCTTGAGAAGCCAGACAGACCTGTCTCTTTTTCTCCCACTCTCCCTCCACACACACACCTGGCCACTGGGAGCCCTGAGTGTGAGGGAGATGGGAGAGGGCAAGAAAGCTAAGCGAGGCCTCCTGCTCATGCATGTGGAGTGCTGATAGCTCTGGGGCTCCGTCCTCCACTGGGCTTTCCCTGGGCACCAGACCTGGGCAGCTCTGGTTCACCTCATTGGCTCTGAGTCCCCCATTCTCCTTGTTGCTTGTAGAAGTTGTGTCTTTTTCTACATCTTGCTTCAAGTTCCCTTCTTCCCAGTTCCTCACCAGGAACCAGGAACCAGGAAGCAGGCACTAAAACAGAACAAGTTGAACTAGCTCCTGAGAATTGAGAGTGGACACAGAGCTGCATAGGAAAACAGTGTCTGGTTGGTTGGTGGATGGGTGTTTCTTTTCAAGACACTAGCTTTCTGAGAGAGCTGGGTATATAGGTATAGGCTTCAGGGACCCATGCTGCCTACCATTTTTATTTCCTTGGCACCTTCCTTTTCAGCAACCCAGAAAGGAAGGTCCTTTTATATCCTTTGTGCCTGTGGGCTTGGGAGGGAGAATGAGGAGTCTGGAGAGCTAAAGTGTCGGATGCCAGGGCCCATTAGACATGTATTTCCTTTCTGCAGCTTCTCCACAGTAATTGGAGTTGGTGTTGGAGCAGGAGCCTACATCTTATCACGATATGCTGTAAGAAATAAAAAACACCCATATGAGGAAAGGCAGGTCCAAGGCCCATGGCAGACTGATTAGGAGAGGGTTGTTTGCTAGTGTGTATTTGGGCAGAGGGTGTGCGTACAAGGGTGGGCAGCCTGACCCCATGGAGCCTAAGAGTGGGTGAAGCTCAGTGGGGAAGGGATAAGACCATGCCTGGCCTCTGATTGTCCTTCCTTCTGCTGCCCCCAGCTTATCCATCCAGATACTGTCGAGGGTCTTGTCCTCATCAACATCGATCCCAATGCCAAAGGTTGGATGGATTGGGCAGCCCACAAGGTTTGGAGGGGCTTGTGTGCTGAGATCTAGGGTGGTGTTCCCCCTCATGTGGGTCTAGTTAGGCCCTACTGACACAACTGATTGGCCTGTGAACTTCAGGGAGGAGGGGGACGGAGCAGGAAAGAAGTGTGTCCCTTTGCCGTGTCTCCCCAAAATGTCCTGACTTTCTCACCTGCCCTTTCCTCAGCTAACAGGTCTCACCTCCTCCATTCCGGAAATGATCCTTGGACATCTTTTCAGCCAGGTAAGTGGCTGTAGAAGATGGAGGGAATGGAGGGGACTAGCAGGGACTGGAATGCTTGGGGTGACTTCCTTAGGTGGGACAGGATCTGCAGAGGGAAGAAGACTTTCTTCTCATCCTGTAACTGTGGACTTCACTTCCCAAACCTTATTTTTCTCCCTCTTCGTTCCTTCAGGAGGAGCTATCTGGAAATTCTGAGTTGATACAAAAGTATAGAAATATCATTACATACGCACCCAACCTGGAGAACATTGAGCTGTACTGGAACAGCTACAACAAGTGAGTGGTGTGTGAACGCACATGGAGGGCAGGATTTGATGTGCATCTGGGGCCACTGTGGGACAGACTTGGTCGGAAGACTTGTGAGGAGCTGTCCCCCTTTCTTCTGCTTACTTCCCTCCAATTCTTGGATCCCCAGAAGTAAGATAATCTCCTGTCCTTGTACCCTCCTTCCCCACTCACTGTCCTCTGACCAGGGACCTGGGGCACAAGTGACCCCAAGGACTGTGCTTGAGGCCTGCTGCCACTTTCCCCTTGTTTCCACTTCCAATCACCAGAATTTGGCTGTAATTTTGGGGAGGAAGATAGCTTCCTTGTAGGGGAGGTAGTTTTTGGATGGATAGCTCTGCCTGCATACAATTACTACTCTTCTCTTAATCCCTCTCTAGCCGCCGAGACCTGAACCTTGAACGGGGAGGTGCCGTCACCCTCAAGTAAGACGTTAAGAGAGAAAGCTTTGCCTCTCTCCCTGCAGCTTTCCTACATGCTTACATCCTTTAAAAGAAGAGTCTATTGCCAGGGAATTTTCTTGTCCTCTAGGTCTTCCCCCTTTGAACCCTCTTCATAGCAACAGTGGGGTTGAGAAGGCGGTTTCCTCTTTGGAACCAGACATTTTCTAGCTGCCCTTCTGGGAGAAGGCAGGTGAGGGCGTACTGGGGGCTCACCATGTGCTCCCTGATACTGCTTCTAGGTGCCCCGTGATGCTGGTGGTAGGAGACCAAGCACCCCATGAAGATGCGGTGGTCAGTTGGGAATTTGGGGGTGGGCAAGGGAGGGTTGGAGTCCTAGGGTGGTGGTCAGAGGGGCATCTTGCCCAGAAGCAGGCTCTGTTTGGGACAGGGAGAGCAACTTGGGGCATAAGATGTTGGTTCCCAGGAGGAAGGAAATGGGTAGACGGCTGACAGGAAGGGAACTGGGGTCTGGGTCTCTGAGTCCCTTGGATGGGAAGGGCCTCAGGGAGTGTGACCTCATTCATTCAGCTTCCTCCTAACTCCAGGTGGAATGTAACTCAAAACTGGACCCCACGCAGACCTCTTTCCTCAAGGTCAGTAACTCCACTCCATGCCCAGCTTGACTCTTGGCCCCCTATCCAGAGCCATATATCCTCTCCAGTTCAGCTTCTAGGCCTCCAGGGTCCTGCCTTGGAGCAGTGGGGAAGAACCCTAAGGGAGGTAGGGTGGGAAAGCTCCAGAAGAGAGATCCCTCTGCATGGCTCATTTTACTTAAGTGTGTATCACTTTTTCTGGATGACTCTGTTCTGAACAGATGGCCGACTCTGGAGGTCAGCCCCAGCTGACTCAGGTGAGTAGCCCTGCCACCGTGGAACTATACCCTTTGCCACACACCCCTTTCCCAACCTGCCATGGCCTTGGACTCCAGCTCAGCTTCTAACCCTCACTGTCTCCCTCTCTTCATCTCACTTGCACAGCCAGGCAAGCTGACTGAGGCCTTCAAGTACTTCCTGCAAGGCATGGGCTACAGTGAGTATGGGGGTCAGAGGACATCATAAGGACAAGGGATTGCTGCACAGAGGGGAAGGATGGGTCCTGAGCGGGAGGAATGATGTTAAGCTAATTCCTGGATTTACCAGCATCTTCCAAATCAAGCCCATTGACCCTCAGCTCTCTTGTCTTTACCCAAGCATCCAACTTGAGTTGCCAGCCTCTTTTCCCACCTCCTCTCTGACTGTTGCCCATCCTCTGTCTCCACAGTGGCCTCGTCCTGCATGACTCGTCTGTCCCGGTCTCGCACAGCCTCCTTGACCAGTGCCGCGTCTATTGACGGCAACCGGTCCCGTGCTCGCACCTTGTCCCAGAGCAGCGAGTCTGGGACTCTCCCTTCAGGGCCACCAGGGCACACCATGGAGGTCTCCTGTTGAGTGACCCTTGTTACCCTGGTGTAGAACCCAGCCCTCACCTCCCCCAGCACTAACCTGGGAGGTGCATAGGGCACTGGGCTGAAGTGAGCAAGGGAAGATGGGCAGATCATGTGGGGAGACAACCTTGATCTTTGATTGCTACCCTAACCTTGACCTCTAACCTGTGATTCCCCTCAGCTCCTGGGAGAGATGTCCTAATATCTCTTAGGGACCCAGACCCCTAAATTATCCCTCTCCCATATTGTGGTGTCAAGTGGAGAGGGCATGTATCCCCTCTCCCTAATCTAGGTGTCTGTAGAGAAGGGAAAAGAGGTTGTTGTACTTGTCCATGGTGCCTCTGCCAGACTCTCCCTACTTATCCTATTGCAAGGGTAGGGGGCTGAGGCTCTGTTCACCAAAGCTGATTTGGCTTCCCATTAACCCTTCAGATCCCTGAAGGATGTGGGCATAAGTGAATGTGTGTCAGGGGAGGCTTGCTCGGGGGTTAGTGGTCCTCCGGATGTAACAGAAATATCCAGTGTGTGAGATGGAAGTTGGAATGGGAGGTGGTGTGCAATGAGCAAGTACAAGGAGGGACTGGAGCTCGGCCAGTAGGAGGGGCCTGGAGCCATTGGCTGCACTAACTTTGGTAGCTGTCTAGACGGTGGTGTCTAGAGTGGGTGGTGGGAGGGAGCTAAGCTGGGGCAGGGTTGCTTGGGGTGTGGCATAGGGGTGGGAAGGGCTACCCTGGGGGCTCTGACTACAGTGCCTTACATGTATGTGGAGGGTGCCCTCCTGTCTCCCACAAATTCTGCTGTAACAATAAACTGTAGAGGAATCAGTACCACTACTCTTCTTTGTCCGGATATGCTGCCTTGTGCCCCTTGCCTACCTCTCCCTTGCCTGACTCTCACAGTGTCTCTTCAAAGTGACCTAACCCACGGGAGAGGGCTTATATAGCATAGGCACTTCACACAATGTGACTGCATGTCACTGGCCCCTGTTCCAATAAGTGGGATGTTATCCTTGATATTGAGAGCATTTTCAGGTTTTGGGCGAGAGGAGCTACTTAGATCTTAGGAGACTTCATCATTAGTTATGGATCACTGAGAAATGTCATAGGATTTCAGAGATGTCACCAACATCATGACATTAAGGAAGTAGAGAGCTGAATGAAGTGCCCAGCAACATCTGTGACCCACCTGCCTGCAGGATCCTCCGTAGGTATCACCTATATTCCATTTCAGAGGGTTCATTGAGATCCTCAGTAGACTAGGCTTCATACATTACCAGAAGGGTTGGGCTGCTCAGAGTTGATCTCAATCTGAAGACTCCTCCAAGAGAGTCAGAACAAAAAGGGCTTCCTCTCAGGAATTCTCCCTCATCAATCCAAGAATTTGGGGAGTTAATTAGGCTGAGTTTGTGGTTCTCTGAAAAGCTTTTCAACAGGTAGGAACAATACTCATCAAGACTTCAGATGTTTTGTGACTGATTGTTAGGGCACAAGAAGTAAAAATGAAAAGGCACTTCATAGCGTTATTGGCAAGAGTACTGTGGATGGAGTATCAGGGTCATTTGTTAGACTGCTTCATAGAAACTCCACAGGCTCTAACACTTCCCTCAGTGAAAGTGAGCTGAGGATGAAGGCAGCTGACGTCTAGTGCTGACACACTGACGTGGAAGTGGGGCATGGAATATGTTCTTGATTCTTGAGCATTTCATCACTCACATAGGACCACGTCTATTTTAAATGCAGCAGGCCAGGATCAGAAGGGGGTTGGAGTAGTAAGTGGCTAGAGGGCTTAGAGCTAGCCATTGATGGTGAGGGTGGTAGGTGACCCCCAAAGGACAGGCAGCAGAGAGAGCTCACATTGCCCACCATGAAAAGAAACAGCCTAGGTGGAATTATTGGACCAAGTAGCTGCTAGGTAAACAAAACATGAGGAGAAGGCAAGAACTCTAGCCAGCCCAGCTTTGGCAGGGACAGCGGCCATTGTGTATTGTGGAGGGAGGGCAGGTTTTAGCACATTTGCCTACACAGGTATCACCAGCAGGGTAGTGTTCAAAGAGGGAGAAAATTACATTAGGTGTACATACATAGGTGTATATGTATGTGCCTGTTATGGAGGTGGTGTGTGAAGTGAGTGGTGATGTGTGTGTGTCTCTCCCTGATAAATGTCTCTGCATAAGAAACCCAAAAGTTCCATAGAGGGAGAGATGCTCTCTACTGGGAGCAGCGGAGAGGGGGCCTGCTGTCCTTGACTGACCTACTTTTGTTTATCCTTGACAGTCTAGGGAAGCCCTTGGAGATACAGTGCCCCCCTGTGGTTGGCATGGTTCTTCCTAATTTGCCTCAGTTCCCAGGTCCCTTCGTAAATCTCCCTTTGTTCCTTGTGATTGTAAGCAGTAGTTACATAAGGGGGCCTGATACCGTGCGTGGTCTGTGGCTCTGGCCCATTCTCAAGATCAGAGCTTAGGGGCTCAGAACAGAGGTGGGGTGACTTCATAAAAGCTGAACCACAGACTCCCTACTTTTTGTCTCTGCCTCAGGCTCAGGACTTCTGTTTCTCTCCCTCTTTTCTCAAGGAATGTGTTCCTTTGACTTTAGGGACAGAAGCCCAAGATAGCTAAGAGAAGGCTCAATGGGAAGGAGAATAAAACTAGAAGAATAGAGCGCTAGGAGCCTTGTGGTGTCAGCTTGAAAGTTCTGGAAATCACGAAGAGCTTTGAAAAGGTGATTCTCTGAAGGTACACACAAAACAGTGAAACTGCAGCAGGAGGGAGAGAGGCTAAGCTTTAGAGAGCACTCCTCTAATAGCTGAGGAAAATGGCAGAAAGGGAGATGCCTTCTTTCTAGAGAGATTTTAGGACGAACTGGAAAGTGAAAGTCAGTTCTGACTAGAGGCCAGGGGTGTGGTCAGGGTAAATAGTGCCCAGAGCACTGTAGGTCGTTTGCACTTCTCTCTTTAACCACATTGGAATTTTCCCCAAGTTGGACAAGTTTTTATAGAATGTATTCAGATATTGACATTCAAATAATTAAATTCAGAACAAAATTGAAATAGAAAGGAAATAATTAACAATAGGTGTCTTTAAGCATCCCTACAGCCCAGGGCCTGGCTGGGGCTATGCTCCTGTCAGCACCACTTTTGCTTCACCTTTGCTAGTGGCCACAGGTTCCTCCCAGGTCAGTGGGGGGAATGTGAGAGCGTCAGCTGGTTGGCACAATCTGAAGGATCCCCACCAGTAAGATGGCAAACTTCCGGCTTCTCTTCGGGGGTCCTCAGTTCCCGCCGGCGCCACCTGAAGCCCAATCACCTCTCGCCCCCCTCCCAATCCCAGCACCTAGCCAACAGCCACCAGCCCCGTAGAAGTGACACCTCAATCAATTCATGCCCCTTCCTATATAACCCAGCACCTTTCCCTAATAAAGCGGAACTCTCCGGTGAATTGCTGCTATGTGTCGCTCCTTTCCTTTCATTGGTGCCGAAACCCGGGAGACGGGACACCCCAACTGGGCCCCGTCTTCCCCCGACACCAGCAGCAGCTTGCCCTCGTCCTCTTTTTCCGGCGCTGGCTCATCACACTCACCACTCCTCTCTGGCCTTTAGGTAAGTTTTTTCCCCGGAGTGGGCCACTCTTCCCCGAGCTATCGCAGTGCCATTGACCGTGATCGTCCGGCAAGGCCCTGACGCTCGGGGATGAGGAGGGAACGCTCCCCGCCTCAGGCCTTCACGGCTGCGGCGGACCCTCAGGCCCCTCCTCCAAAAGCCATAAATCCCCGCCTCAAGCCTTTACGGCTGCGGCAGATGCTCAGGCCCCTCCTCCGACAGTCAAACGCATTCACCATCCCTTCCATCAGTGCTGAAAGTTTTTAAGCAAAATTTCCCCGGGGTGGGCCACTCTTCCCCGAGCTATCGCAGTGCCATTGACCGTGATCGTCCGGCAAGGCCCTGACGCTCGGGGATGAGGAGGGAACTCTCCCCGCCTCAGGCCTTCACGGCTGCGGCGGACCCTCAGGCCCCTCCTCCAAAAGCCATAAATCCCCGCCTCAAGCCTTTACGGCTGCGGCAGATGCTCAGGCCCCTCCTCCGACAGTCAAACGCATTCACCATCCCTTCCATCAGTGCTGAAAGTTTTTAAGCAAAATTTCCCCGGGGTGGGCCACTCTTCCCCGAGCTATCGCAGTGCCATTGACCGTGATCGTCCGGCAAGGCCCTGACGCTCGGGGATGAGGAGGGAACTCTCCCCGCCTCAGGCCTTCACGGCTGCGGCGGACCCTCAGGCCCCTCCTCCAAAAGCCATAAATCCCCGCCTCAAGCCTTTACGGCTGCGGCAGACGCTCAGGCCCCTCCTCCGACAGTCAAACGCATTCACCATCCCTTCCATCAGTGCTGAAAGTTTTTAAGCAAAATTTCCCCGGGGTGGGCCACTCTTCCCCGAGCTATCGCAGTGCCATTGACCGTGATCGTCCGGCAAGGCCCTGACGCTCGGGGATGAGGAGGGAACTCTCCCCGCCTCAGGCCTTCACGGCTGCGGCGGACCCTCAGGCCCCTCCCCAAACAGCCATAAATCCCCGCCTCAAGCCTTTACGGCTGCGGCGGACGCTCAGGCCCCTCCTCCGACAGTCATAAATCCCCGCCTCAGGCCTTCACGGCTGCGGCTGACTCTCAGGCACCCCCCTCCAACAGCCATAAACGAGGTGACTCCTTTGTGGATGAGAACGCTCCCTTTTCCCCCCCTCCTCCTTCTGCTCCGTCCGCCGAAAACGCCTAGCGCTAGGTACCTCGTGACTCCGGCACTCTGCCTTCTTAGGGAAGTCTGGGTGACGACCCACACTTCCCAAGAAATTCCGACTCGTATACGAGTTTCCGCAGACCACCAAGGATCATCGGGGACGCCCTTTGTCTCCTTGTGGTCTGCTTCCAGTCCGAGGATCTCCGTTCGTCTTCCCCTGTTTGTCTCCTTCTCTGTCCTTTAGCCATGGGAGCCTCCTCATCCCTCCCTGAAAGTTCACCTCTTGAATGCCTGCTTAAGCATCTGGCTACCCTCTCCCTGACGCCTGATATAAAACCAAAACTTCTCCGTAAATATTGCTCCCAAGATTGGCCGACATACCCCCTAGACAATAACAACCAATGGCCCGCAGGGGGAACTCTTGATCCTAACATCACTCGCGATCTTTTTAACTACTGCCAGCGCCTGAAAAAATGGAAGGAGATTCCCTATATCGAAGCTTTCCGCCTCCTCCTCTCCCCGCCCCCTCCCAAGTTCTCCTAGCCTGCAAGCCGCCGCCCCCGCAGAAGCCTCCCGTTCACTCCCTTCCCCTTCTTCTCCTACAACAGCCCTTCTCCCTTCCTCCCCAACCATCTCCTCCCCCATCTCACCTCCTCCACCTTCATTCCCTGCAGATTAAGCCTGAGCCTTTCAGCCCCCCTTTAACTAGGTCCCAGGGGCCTCCTCCGTCTTTGCCCTCATCACCTGTTTCTCCCCTGTTAGGGACCGCCTTTGTCTTCTCACATGTTTGTAGAGAGAATGGGAAAGCACCTCCCCCCATGTCTGAACGCAGCATGGGAAAGCACAAGCTAGAGAACAACCGGTGCAGTCCTTAGAAGTTATCTGTCCACAAAAACATATCTTGCCAAGACTCCTCACTCTGAAAATAGGGAGACCTTGAAGATGTGTAGAAACACCGCCCCTGCTTCTAGCTATGCCCTTCCCCCACTTGCCGATGTGGCAGGAATAGAAAACAACGCATTCCATAAGCAATTAACTGGAGCCCTGCTGTAGCTCAGTAGAGCATGGGACTCTTAACCTCAGAGTCATGAGTTCAAGCCCAACTAAAGCAGC